TTTCAAACATCAAAATAAGTCACTCTACTTTCATTGTTTTGACTCTGCAAAAATCTCTGCTAGGGTCCCCGTGTGTTTACACTGTTGTTTATTCATAGCCCAGACCAGCAGCAATAGCCTGTGGCTATATATAGCCACCGTCTAAAAATTGATCTACAAATATATTTTAGGTTAAAAAACGATAGATATCCATGCATTTAGAGAAAATGTCATGATTTTTATACTTATTTGGTATTTTTATTCTTCTATTTCCGTTATGTATTCTATAATATATAGTGTAAAAGGCTTTTGGTATCATTGCAAAACACCACAAATCACTTCTTATTTCATATAATGCTTAAAAGCATTGGTATCTAAAGCTGGATTTTAGAAAATCTTATTTCTCTAAAACAATTGATTTTCTTCACCTTGATTAGGGTACAAATGTCAACTTTTATGAGACCTTTTCTAAGACTTCCAAAATCTTTGAATCTTATGAAGATGAACTCAATGAAAATTGTTGCATGAAAAAATTTCATTTTCAAGCTTAATTTTGATGCATTTCAAATTAAATATTAAATTTTGGAGTTATCCTTCCTGGCTGAGGATCGGATATCCTTAAAAACCAAATTTAAAAAATGGGGGTCAATATGCTCCTTTTGGCGCAACAGTTAAATTTGACCCTTTTGCACTGAAATTTTGTCTTTATCAAAAATTAAATCTTCTACATTACCCCTCTAATATTTTTATCTAAATGAAGCATGGAACAAAGTAAACTATAAGTCTATTTAAATAAAGACACTTTAAAATTGTTTCTAAGAAAAAGTTCAAAATTACTTTATTAGATTTTCCCGGCATTGACAATTTGATAAGCAGGAAAAATATAAACTTTAAGAGAGCTTTCGACAATCGAAATTCTGAAACGCAAGCATTAAAAACTTGGATGATTCTGCTGCGGTGACGGGCTACTTTCGTTTTTGTTCGCTGCAGAAAGGCTGATATAAAAGTTCTAGATAAATATTAATAGCTCGAAAGTATGGCAAATAACAGTGCGACATTTAACTCCGGACACGACATTTGTCCGGACTTTCGCCAACCACTTTTCCAAAGGTACATAGAAAAAATTTATGTCATCCGGTGGGATTTTTTTAATCGCACAACATGGACTAACCTTTACACCTGAATATCTTCCAGTTTAAAAGATATTACACCTGAAATCAAGAAATCCCATGGGATTATGGTGGGATTTTCTCTCCTAACCAATATCCCACCATTATTCTGTGGGAGAAAAATGAGTTCTGTGGGATTTTTTCTCCTATAGAATCAAAATTCCCATTTTTAACCTTACATGGGATTTTTTATCCCATAAGTTGTGAAATGGGACAAGAAGTTCCATAATTGTCACAAATAGGATTAAAAGTTCTCTATCATAATGTTTTATAGAATATATTATCCTACAGGAGAATGGAAATTGTTTTTATGTCTTTAATTCTTTCCCTTTGAAAATGTCAGTCCTAACTCTTTCCATTTATCATTTTACATTTAGAAAGTACATGCTATTGCAAGCAAAATAATATCAAATTGGCAAAATTTCATTGAAAAATAAAAAAGTTATGCTCATTCAAGAGAACACACCATTCCGATTGACAGAGTATAACATGATGATGAATTCTCCCTATGAAAATTTCAGTCCTCTTACAATTCATCATTTTACATTTAGAAAGTACATGCTATTGCAAGCAAAATAATACCAAACTAGCAAAATTTCATTGAGAAATAAAAAAGTTATGCTCATTCAAGAGAACACACCAGTCCGATTGACAGAGTATAACATGATGATGAATTCTCCCTATGAAAATTTCAGTCCTCTTACAATTCATCATTTCACATTAAGAAAGTACATGCTATTGCAAGCAAAATAATACCAAACTGCCAAAATTTCATTGAGAAATAAAAAAGTTATGCTCATTCAAGAGAACACACCACTCCGATTGACAGAGTATCATATGATGATGGATTCTCCATATGAAAATTTCAGTACTCTTTCAATTTATTATTTTATATTTAGAAAAAACATGCTATTGCAAGCAAAATAATATCAAATTGGCAAAATTTCATTGAGAAATTAAAAAGTTATGCTCATTCAAGAGAACACACCAGACTTAAGTACAATTATCAGAGTAATATGACATGATGATGGACTCTCCCTATGAAAATTTCAGTCCTTTTACAATTTAACATTTTACATTTAAAAAGTACATGCTATTGCAAGCAAAATAATACCATACTGGCAAAATTTCATTGAGGAATAAAAAAGTTATGCTCATTCAAGACAACATACCATTCCGATTGACAGAGTATAACATGATGATGAATTCTCCCTATGAAAATTTCAGTCCTTTTACAATTTATCATTTTACATTTAGAAAGTACATGCTATTGCAAGCAAAATAATACCAAAATGCCAAAATTTCATTGAGAAATAAAAAAGTTATGCTCATTCAAGAGAACACACCAGTCCGATTGACAGAGTATCACATGATGATGGATTCTCCCTATGAAAATTTCAGTCCTTTTACAATTTATCATTTTACATTTAGAAAGTACATGCTATTGCAAGCAAAATAATACCAAAATGCCAAAATTTCATTGAGAAATAAAAAAGTTATGCTCATTCAAGAGAACACACCAGTCCGATTGACAGAGTATCACATGGTGATGGATTCTCCCTATGAAAATTTCAGTACTCTTTCAATTTATCATTTTATATTTAGAAAAAACATGCTATTGCAAGCAAAATAATATCAAATTGGCAAAATTTCATTGAGAAATTAAAAAGTTATGCTCATTCAAGAGAACACACCAGACTTAAGTACAATTATCAGAGTAATATGACATGATGATGGATTCTCCCTATGAAAATTTCAGTCCTTTTACAATTTAACATTTTACATTTAGAAAGTACATGCTATTGCGAGCAAAATAATACCAAACTGGCAAAATTTCATTGAGGAATAAAAAAGTTATGCTCATTCAAGAGAACATACCATTCCGATTGACAGAGTATAACATGATGATGAATTCTCCCTATGAAAATTTCAGTCCTTTTACAATTTATCATTTTACATTTAGAAAGTACATGCTATTGCAAGCAAAATAATACCAAAATGCCAAAATTTCATTGAGAAATAAAAAAGTTATGCTCATTCAAGAGAACACACCAGTCCGATTGACAGAGTAATACATGATGATGGATTCTCCCTATGAAAATGTTAGTCCTTTTACAATTTATCATTTTACATTTAGAAAGTACATGCTATTGCAAGCAAAATAATACCAAAATGCCAAAATTTCATTGAGAAATAAAAAAGTTATGCTCATTCAAGAGAACACACCAGTCCGATTGACAGAGTATCACATGATGATGGATTCTCCCTATGAAAATTTCAGTACTCTTTCAATTTATCATTTTATATTTAGAAAATACATGCTATTGCAAGCAAAATAATATCAAACTGGCAAAATTTCATTGAGAAATAAAAAAAGTTATGCTCATTCAAGAGAACACACCAGTCCGATTGACAGAGTATCACATAATGATGGATTCTCCCTATGAAAATTTCAGTACTCTTTCAATTTATCATTTTATATTTAGAAAATACATGCTATTGCAAGCAAAATAATATCAAATTGGCAAAATTTCATTGAGAAATAAAAAAAGTGATGCTCATTCAAGAGAACACACCAGTCCAATTGACAGAGTAATACATGATGATGGATTCTCCCTATGAAAATTTCAGTCCTCTTACAATTTATCATTTTACATTTAGAAAATACATGCTATTGCAAGCAAAATAATACCAAATTGGCAAAATTTCATTGAGAAATAAAAAAAAGTTATGCTCATTCAAGAGAACACACCAGTGTGATTGACAGAGTAAAACATGGTGATGGATTCTCCCTATGAAAATGTTAGTCCTCTTACAATTTATCATTTTACATTTAGAAAGTACATGCTATTGCAAACAAAATAATACCAAACTGGCAAAATTTCATTGAGAAATAGAAAAGTTATGCTCATTCAAGAGAATACACCAGTCCGATTGACAGAGTAATTAACATGATGATGGATTCTCCCTATGAAAATTTCAGTCCTCTTACAATTTATCATTTTACATTTAGAAAGTACATGCTATTGCTCTTATTCTGTATTTTGTGTTGATGTGCAGTGCTAAGTTTGAACTAACTCGTATGATTTCAATACGTATTTATAAAAAAAAAAAAAAAAAAAAAAAAAAACCTGAGATGCTTGATATTAAACAATAGTGCTAGTATCCCTGTTTAGTTTATTTCACAAGTTCTGTAGCTATCTGAAATGTAGTGTTTGTACAGTGCTAGTATCCCTATTTAGTTTATTTCACAAGTTCTGTATTTATCTGAAATGTACTGTTTGTAGAATTTGAATACAAGATTATTGGTAGGAAAGTTAAGTACATGTGTATACTTTACACACAGAATTTACATTTGATATATTTTTTACGCTCAGATTCCTTATTTTTTTTTTTATTCCATTTATTTCTTATGATAACTAGGATAACATTAAAACATGTTCACTGATGATATACAATATATTTTACACATTATTTTCTTTATATACCAACAGTTCTAAGGAGACCTCTTTGAGTATTTACTATAATTTAAATCAATGATCTATAAATTGTCATTTTTCTCTATAAAACTTTTTGGACCCTTGAGCTGAAATAGTACAAACAGCTGTTTTATGAGCAAGAGATTCAGAATACTCATTCACAGGGTTACATGTATCTCTTAAACCCAGCGGATGGAGAATGTCCTTGCCTATAATCATGTTATCACCAGAGACCTGTTCACAGAGCGAGCGTCAGCGAACATTTCTATTGAAGGTATAAGAAATTTTGGTGAGCGCTTGTGAACGTTCATTCTATTGAAAACGCCTCTGGCGTTATTCGGATCAGCTGCTAAGGGAGGAAATGAAAACTTACATTCAAACAATGTGAGTAAGATGTATTTGTCCAAATTCTTAAGTCCAGTGGGATCCGCATTTATGTCCAAAATAGTTAGGAACCTCCCATTCTCCTACAAGATTAAAAAAATATACTATTTTGCAAAACATTGAAAATGTATCATATACATGTATTTCCATTTCAAACAACTTAGAGGCAAACCTGGTGGGCGAGATTAACACACTCCAGTATTTTGTCTCTACATTCATTGGGCCAGCTCATTGTCCACAAAATCCTTTGGATAACAGTTCATCATTCTCTTAATTAACTCAGTTTTCACAAAAGACTCGTACTCATCACCCTGGCTATAAAAGAAATTAAATATAACATGTACAAGTTACAGGAAACAAACATCTACTAGTATTTAGTTTAACAAATTCCTCATGTTTATATACAAAGCATAGTCAAGACTAAGACCATCAAATGTAGAAGAGTTATCTAAAATTTATTCAACAGAGTCTGGATCTTAGGTTCTAGATTTCTATAGACATCTAGATTACCAAACATTGTGAGAATGCAAAGGTAGATTTATTTCTTTTATTTATACACATAAGAGCTATACATGTACTTACTGATGAACTTTTTCAAAGTACACAAACGCTATAAGATCGGCTCCCAGTCCTGTTCCCTGTAGAACCAGAACAATAACTTTTCTCCGGAGAAGGTCCACCACATGGTCAATATCTAATGGTCCACCCTGTATCAGGAGGCCCACCATGGGGGTACTGGTGCAGGTAATCATGTTTAAATTTTCTGCATCTGTGCATAAAAATATTATATTAGTGTACAGAAAATGTGAATAAATAATACATATTATAATTCATATTTAATCTTTTTTCCTTAAGAAATTTTAACTTTTTTATATATGTGAGACATATTCTACATCAAATAAAAATTAGTCTACTTGAAAAACAAACAAAAATTCAAGAGGCCCATGGGCCAAAATGCTCACCCAAGTAGCTTTCAGACCCATTGTTCTTCTCCAGATTTTCCTCCTTGTAATACATGTACTTACTGTGGTTTTACAAAGTTTCAGCTTTTCAGTAGTTCTCCAAATCTAAGGATAAATTATTGAAGATTTTTTTTAATATTTCAATTAATGTAAAACTTGGATTCCCTATTGTGTCCCACTTGTCCTCAGGGGTCCTGATTTGAATCTGATTTTTCACTACCCCAGGATGCTTCCATGAAAGTTTCAGCTTTCTGGCCAAATGGTTTTTTGAGAAGATTTTTTAATGAGTTTACCCTATTTTTGTCCTTTTTTTGATTACATCATTTTGTAAGAGGACTTGGCCCTTCATTTTAACAATTTAAACTCCCTAAAAATGCTTTGTACCACTTTTGGTTAAAATTGGCCCAGTGGTTCTCGAAAAGAAGTTGAAAATGTGAAAAAGTTTTCAGACATATGGACAGACTGACAAAGGTGAACAGAAAACTCACTCTAGTTTTAGCTCAGGAGAGTTAAAATATGCAACCTACCAAGGGGAGGGGTCTAACATTTTGAATTTTTCCTGTATCTCTTGCCCCTCCCTATAGGGGTCAGAAGTCTCTCCTCGATTCTGAGTCTAAAGCCTTCCAGCTCCCTTAGATCAGTGTTCTGGTCCATTATGATAAAATGAGAGTGTCTCCATTCAAACCCACAGCTTCCTTAGTCCCCGTTTTTTTCAGTGAAATAATGGAATCATGCTGCAATTTGCAAATAAAAGAAATACAATAAGTTCCATTTACAGGTGAGAGAAATTCAAAATACAGGATTTTCTGCATTGCTGGTCTTAATAATTGTTCCCTATTGTTTTTAATAATTACTGTATTACACATATAAGCCAATATACATGTAATCACATGTATATACATATATATGTTTTTTAAGATGTAAAGTCATAACGCACTCCAAAATTTGCCTCTGAAACAATTTGAATATGAATGCCTGCAATTTTAAAATGTAGGTCACTATGACCTACTTTTCAATAACATCTTTAAACTTCTTTAAAGGCCCCAATAGCTAATTATCTAAATACAGTGTAAATTCAGACATGACCACGTACCAATCCCTCAGTCCCAGCCACACACTTGAGCTGTAGTTTAGGAACGATTCCCATCACGGTTAGTTTAGGCAGTTCCTCTACGTCCTCCTTCTTGTGAAGCTTTACATAGGGGTTCTGAGCTCGTGTCATCAGAATAGATCGCCTCTCTCTCTAAAAACGACATCCCCAACCATTCTAGCGATTCCCTCCATCTAAACCATTTGTCAACACCCACATATTGGTAGAGTTCATGGCCTGCAGCGCAAAAAAAAATGAAGAAAAAAAAAGAAATCTATGATCAAGCCATTGTCAATTTTCAACCTCAGTACAATTTTTCTTAAATAATAAATCTGTTTCATAATGTGAAAATTCCAAATCCAATTTATTAAGTTCACTGTTAATATGCATATACATGTATATACACATGTTACATTGATGTTCCTATATTTGTGCAGCAAAAATGTCCGAAAATATTGATAATTATGAACATATCAGAAATATGGCTAAAAATGGGAATGATGTAAGTGATAGACAAGTATTGGTGATAAATAGCTAGATAAAATGTTAAGGATTCTCAAAAGAGTTCAATTAAAGCAATTTTATACAAAGTCTACTTCATATTTTAACCTTTAACCTTTGCCCTTCTGACCTGAATCAAACCCGTCTGGAAATCTTCCACTTCCTGCTGATTCTTCCACTTCCTGAAATGACTGAGACTGGATATAACAGAGAGTATGATGTCTGGGCTCCTCTTTTTCCACACTTTGGTGATGTATTTAGCCACATTGTCCACAGTAGCATCTCCCCCACACAAACATAGTAACTTGTGTGACTCTACAATTAATATAAAAGATTAATAGACACATTCAATTGTATCTTTAATTTGAGTTGAAATAAACCTTTCCCTGAATAAATGATAAAAAATGTTTTAGTTTCATGCAAATTTCATCCCTTACACGGTATTTTTTGGACATTTTAATATATCAATATTTTCTATTTTATTTCCTAGATGTACTTAGCTGGTCTTGACAAAATTACATAGACTGTTTGCTTCATTTTTATATAAGTACAAGATCAGAAGTTGTGAAAATAAAGTGTTATTTTATGTTAACATATAATCAGAAGTTTTGAAAATAAAGTGTTGAAAAAAAAGATTTTTTCTTAAAAAAAATAAATTGGGGATAATCCTTTGAAGTATATTTTTGATGTCTTAAATAAGTTGAAAGGCTCATTTTAAGCCCAAGGAAAATCTTTAGATAAATAATTCTGAAAATAGGATAATGCATTGTTTGCCAATTTTCTACAAGTTCTTACGTTAGGTATACTTCAATGTGTACTGGAACATGTAAACTTTATCATGTTCCCTATGAAATTATTAAGTGTTGTTTCATTTAACAGTAACCATACATAACATAGAATAAAAATCATGAAAGCAATAAACCATTACTGACATTTGTCCCATTGTATAACATGGTTTACACATCCTTAACATACTTTTTTTTCAGACAGACAATTTATAAAGCTTACCTAAGTGACTAAACAACCCTCTCTTGTTCCTGCTATTTTGACATACTGACCTTTTCCTCTGTAGATCCATCAAACAGGAACTTGATTATCCCCCCTGTAAGTTTGGAGGTTTGTAACCAGTCAAGGTCATCTGTGGTGGAATCTGTGCTGACATATGACGCCACGCTAGTCACAGTGACATATTGTGGGTCCACTTCAATGTTAGGATAATCTTCTATATCTTCTTCCATGTCAATTACGTCTAAAATTTTTGATGTAAAAGATATGTTATTTAAAATTTAAATGCTTCATAAGTTTTGTTGTAAAAGGTAAGGTCTGAAGCAGTCTTGGGACTTTTCATCCCTAGGTGTCATCCCTAGATGCATGATGCCATCATACATGTAAGTTTCATCCAAGCAGGGCTTTGGAATGGACCTGCTTCTTAAACTTTGACCAAGACACTGACACTCATGCCAAGGCTACTGAAATAATAAAACCAATCATAGAAGATTGATTGGCACTAATTTATGAATATGAAGGTAATGCTAAGCCATGCCTCAATGCCCACAAGACAGTAAATAATATCAATGAATATTTTTTTTTCCTTTTACAAATCTAAATGTCCAATAAAAAAAGTCCACGGACCTTTACAGTAACCTGAGTATAACTGATACATGTAATACAATACTGTATTTTGGATCCACTGAAGTAATCAACTGATGGATAAAGGTGTGCTGCTCCAAAGCAAAGGGAATAGAATTATAATAAAGGACCAACAAAACAGTTGGTCTACTCCTTTATTTATTTAGTATAAGTACTTTTTTGAAAAGTAGATATTGCACAAAGATAAGGTATTTTTGTCTCATTTTTATCATTTATTTATTTATTATTTACAAGTCTTCCTTAATAGCTTACCATAAAAAAAAATCACAATTACTTTTTGTATAATATACTTCAAAAAATATTTACTTCTTATATTCAATTTGATCTATCAATTGCATTACCTACAGTAATTGATTATCAAAGGTAAATAACAAGGGGAACAACTTCTCTCATTAGGATACCATATCATTAGAGCCCTGGCCAAGCACCGGAACACTAGACACAGAGATCCATAATTTCAAAAATCTGCTAGCAAATAAACACCCCTTCCAAGCACAACTTTAAGATGCCCAAGGGAATATAAGAATTTATTCATTCTCATTACATTACATTACCAACCAGCTTTGACATCTTCCAATTTTAGTAAAGGCACAACTGCATTCACTCAAGCACAATCACCTGCTAAATACCCAGGAGTAGAGAAGATTTTTGACAATGTACTTAATGCATTTCAGTACAGTATCAATTATAGAGCAACACTAATGTCAGAACCTCTGAATTTGGGATCATAAATTTTGCCATTTTGAACCATCCTTGTTCAGCATAATCCATCTTCGCTAGCCAAGGGTTTCGACATGCTACTCTCCTCATCAACTCTTGGCATAGCTACAGTGTTTAAAAAAGGTGGGATTTTTTTCTCAAGTAGTGATTGGAGTGGATTGGCATTAATTGACCAATCAGCAACTGTTTTTGGTAAATGACAATTGTGTGCGTTAGGGATATATTTTGACTCTTTACTATCAAACTAAAGTGCAAGCAAACAACCATCACACGCCATGCTATGAAAGGATATGGTGTGATCCAATATCTAAATTCTAAAACCAGAACCCCTGATCCAGAAGTCAAATTTACTTTGATTAGCCTATATTATTCACTATCAATTTTTTATTCATGATGAAGTTGGATAATATTTAACATGTCTAATTGTCTGTTTGGTTCCCCAAGTACCCCGGTAATAGTTTGTGCTGAAATGTTAAGTGATTTACACCTGAATACATTATGTGTAAGCAAAATTTTCAAAATTTTACCAATTTCATCAACTACCTGATAATTTTTCCTAATTCCCCAAAATGGCATTTCCCAAAATAGGCTGATATATTTCCATACTTTTCCATGGTAAGCCACATTCGATATCAAAGCCAGAATTTGACAAACCATCACACAACTTTTTCTCTTTGTGTCTATATGGAAAAATTTCTTTAATTTTTAAACAGGTAAAATGAAAATGGTGGGAATAAATCAATAATACCAAGAAAACATTTTAGCTAATAGATTTGATGGTTAGTCCATTCTGAGCCTTTATTTTACAACGGTCAAGAAAGCTTTCATCCTTTT